TCTGCGGCCAAAATAAAGAGATGATTTCTCGCCTAATAATACTACAACATTGAAAGATGATTTGATCAATGTTCATATGGCACCACATCTAGGTTGCTTGGCACAAGGAGTTTGTACTGTTATGGCTTCCTACTCAAGCTGGAATGGAAAGAAAATGCATACAAACTACCATTTTATAACAGAGATTTTGAAGAATAAGTTGGGATTCAAGGGCTTTGTGATTATAGATTGGGAAGGAATTAACCGGATAAGCGACCCCCGGGCACAAATTATCTTGGATGCATTCAAATTTTCCTTGACTGATCCTTGAGGACAAGGATCTTTAGAGGGGAAGGTAATATAACACCCCAAACAATTAGCAACCCTCATCATGACGTCATTAGGGCAGGGAACGACGTCGTATGAGCACAGGAAGTTAGGACCGTTGCTACTAATTGAAATGATGACGTGCAAAGCTGGGTAGTTGGCGGATGAAGCTAAACGATGTCGTTTGATCGTGGGTGAACCTTGAACTATCTACTATGCTGTATCTTCTTTTGAACCTTGAATATGTTGTGAGATGGAACATTTCCTTTTTCCTATGCAAGCCTGGCAAGTAATATGAAAGGTCAAATTAACAGAAAAATTTTAACCGATTTTCTTCCATAATTTTTTTTTTTTTTAATAAGAATGCGGTTAATTTAAATACTAGAGATAAGTGCTCTCTAGCTGAGGCTAGCTATGTGTTGATGTTTCATGGCAGTGGTTATTTTTTGTATTGTAAACTGATTGAAAAAGAAAAAAATGAAGTTGTTGGGCGGAGGCGGTGAAGGGCCAAACTTAGCATCTTGCCTCTCAAAAATGTGGCAATATAAGAAATAAAGTTGCGTCTTCGCCAAGAGTTGTAGCTGTTGGCGTAGTAGTAAGTGTTTGATACTAACAAGTAGTATCAGAGCCAGGACAGGTCACAGATCTATGCAGTGAAAAAGGCCGGTGAAGGATAAAGTCCAACAATTGGTGGCTAGAGGGATTGTGACTACCAGAACTCAATGCAGAAGGCCGATGAAGGACCAAGTCAGCAAGTGGTAGCTAGGGAGATTGAGACTACATACCATAACTCAATGCAGAAAGATAGAGAAAGAAAAACAACCTTCTCAACAATATGTCTTTGTCAAGTGTGATTGAGACTTTGTCAAGTGTGATGCCATAAGGGTTTCCATATTCCTCCTCAAATAAAACTAACAGGTTTCCTGTTGGTTTGAGAAATCTCACTTACCTTATACCATATAAGTGATTGAGAAGAGCTAAACTCTCTCCACTGAACAGCATTTGATCCTTTTTCAGTGTAAATTTGTAAGTTCTCTCCCAACAATCCAACCTTTACACAATGACCAGAAGTCCAGAAGCTATGCATGAAAATTGAACTTTTGTTTCTAATGGCATTATATATATTGTTTAAAACCTCAATAGAGTCAGATGAAGATCATTCTATCGCGTAACGTTTTGAAACTTTTGTGACACTAATTTTCTATTATTTATATTTCTATCTGCAATGGTTAAACTCAGTAGTGTTAAAAATTAGCAGAAGAACAGGGTATGATATGTGAACAAAGGCTACCTGATATCCCCATGAATCATTAGAAAGATCCTCACTTCCTTCACTGCCTTCAATTGTCACTTTTCGGGGTCCAAGACTTTTATGCTCAAGATATGCTCCTGAATTCTGTACATAATATACATACTATGACTGAGTTTTCTATGTTTGCTGTTAGTTTGTTTTATTTTTTTCCGGCTGCTAAAAGCTTGAGAGAACTTTTAGCAAAAGTACCCCACATTTTCGAAAAACAAGTGCTGAACTTGGTTCTTCAGGCCTCTGCCCAACAATCCCTAGCCATCCGGTGCTGGACTTGACCCTTCACTGGCCTCCACCCAACAATTCTTCATAGCACCCTGCCTATCGAAAATGTGACGGATATAAGGAAATAAAATTGCACCCTGCCTGTCAATTATCAATGTCATCCCTGAATTATTAGTGGTGTAAAAGTTGCCCATCAATTTTCAAAACTACGTTTTATCCTAGGAAGCACTTTTGGGAGGTAGCAAATAAGATTTTAAGGAAATAGTGATTCACTCAATTCGTACTAAAACCCTACACATTTATCCTTTCATCCCAAGATATTTCCAAATATTTCCAGGAAAATAATAATCTTTTCGTAGGATTATTATTGAGAATTCGACATTGTTTGTCAACAATCCGTGTAGTAGACACCCACACCTCGTGAAGTAGGGTGAGTTTTGAAAAAGTTCACCTGATACGGATCAGGGTGGAGATGGATTGAGAAAGTATAAGAGCACCACCCTTTTGGGGATATTGGAAGTTTGGAACAGTGTAATCTGATTTGGCGGAGAGAGAGGGTAAGAGAGAAAAAAAAAATTACTCCCTCTACAAGAGTAGAGTTATTTGCAGAAAGGTGGGACCCAACGAATGAATTCCTCCCATCCCCTCGCGCTGAGCACTCCACCATTGTGGATGCTCTAAGATGAGCTGGCTGAATACAGCCTTCCCCAGCTCACCCAACCCATTGTCATTCCTAGATGTGAAAGCCTAGACTTTTAGAATATCTAACCTACTCAAAATGAGATATAAGATAGGAAGGGCCTAAGTGAGCCAATAATATTATGAGGCCGGTCAAGCTAGCCCGCTGCCAACAGCATCGATCGTTGTCTATGTTATGCAATTATTGGTGTCCCCAGCTTCATATCGATCGTTGTCTAACTATATGCCATTATTGGTGTGCCCAAACTTTAATTTGTCTGTCTTCAAACTGAAAATTAAAGCAAATCCTCAAAAGATTGTGACAGAAAATTTTAGTTAATAGCCATTAACCTTGACCTAATCAAGAGAGCCGAGGTGGGATGGCTACAAAAAGACAAGCTACTACATGCATCCACACTTCAAGTGGGAGGAGGGAAGACCACGTACTGTTCTACTTGCCCTACAATAAACAAATATCTTCTCTGATAGTGATATATAATTCTCAAGGCGATAAATTTCTTTTCCGCGGTCAAAATAATAAGATGGAGATCAGATGATTTCTCGCCTCTTTTTACTTTGATAGATGCTAGGTGAGACTCGCACGGGCTTAGCTCAATGGTTTAGTGGGCAGTATTTAGAGTAAGAGATCAAGGTCCGAACCTCGGCGGCGGCAGTGTGGGAATTATGTCCAAAGTGGGCAGATTCCTTGTGCGCACCGGCATTTAGCCCTGCCTACTAACCCATTGAGTCACCGTTATTTAATTACATCCTCCCACATGCTCTGTGGGGAGATGCTAGGTGAGTATAAATTTCACCAGAAAAAAATTATCCAATTATTAGAAGCAATCCAGAATGTAATAGTTCAACTAGAAGAGATAAAAGATCAGTAGAGTCCATCAGTCCAATGATATCAACTAGTGCATCGTGCTTAATAACATTCATTCTATACTACGTTTATAATATTTGTTCTATATGTTCATAAATTTAAACCTTAATATACATAAACACTAAAATGCAAGTGCATATGTATTTTTAATTTTTTATTCACTTTGTTGTAAATTCAAAATATTACTTCTATATGTTCATAAAACCAAAGTTTAATGTACATAAACTTTACATTACAGTCGCATCATATTTAATAACATTTATCATATACTATGTTCATAAAATTTTTAGCCCTAACTCTAAAACCTAAGCCTGTCGGGCCTATACGAGCTCAACTAAAACTTTTGACATTTTAATAAATTAGTACGTTAATAAATATAAACTTATACATCATACAATCAATCCAAACCTCCATTTCCAAATTACAACTAAAAATACTAAATATATTTATGCTATAATATAATAATTATAATTGATACCCAAAATGGTCATTGACTATAGTGGTTTTTCTCAATTTCATCCTAAACAACTTTGGTGACCCAATGTAGTCCAAGACTTTTGTGTTTTTGCTCAATGTAGTCTTCCATTTGTTATTTTGTCCAATTGGTGGAGGGACAATTCAGTAATTTCAATATTTTCCTCTCTTTACTCCCAGGCCTCTTTCTTTTAAAACTTTGGTGACCCTCTTTCTTTTACGAATTAATCCTAGACCACGTCCCCCAGAAATAAGTGATGATGGTGCTTCTGGGGGAGTTGTCAAGGAAATGTCATCCACGTAGATGAATTGGTGCATGTGCAGTGAGATCGATAGTCGTTGAATTGATCAATCATCACAAGTACTTTGGTGATCAATGAGGAGACCATTCCACAGTACTCAGGGCAGAGGCCTTTGAACATATATAGATTATGTTCATTCAAATTAATTGGTTGATTGGCTTTAGCAAGAAATTCAATTAAAACATTGGCTTTGCTAAGATATTCACTCGTAGTGGAATCCCCATGGCGCAAAGACTGCAACTGACTAAGGAGACTCAAAGGTCGTGCTTGAAATGAGGACTCAAATGCGACTTCAATAGCCTACCATATAGAGCCCGAGACGTGGCATGTCCCACCGCAACATACATAACCTCATCGAACATAGACGAGATCAGATGAGCATGGACAAGATAGAGGAATCCTGACAGACCCAATTTTTTGCCGCATGATTGGGTACAATAGAACACCCATTCGGAGCTGGAATAAATGAAGCTGGACACGATAACATGCCGTCCCGTATCCACTAAGGTTTCGAACATGGAGAAAGGTAACACATTGAGTTTTACAGAATAGGTAGTTTGAGCAGTTAAGTTTAATTGAGATAAAGTGAGATGGTTGTTTGTAGAGCATTTATTGGGGTTGGGGTTGGACGAGGAAACATCTGAGATGGTGCAAGAGGAGGAGGTTGTATGTGGTGGTGGTTTCGCTGGCCAGTGGCAGGGTGTCATCTAAGTTGGTGGTCGTGGCGGTGTTGGCAGGGCTTGCAGTCATGGATCATTAGGTCAGAATAATAATTATGGGAAGAATTTTATTATTGATCAATTCAATCTACAAAGGTAGAGTCCTAGACAAATAGGAATAATAAAAGGTAGATTTACAATAATACTGAGAGATAGAGAAAGAATTCTAGAATACAAATTCCTAATATAATTAATCATACAAATCTAAAGTCAAGCGTGGCATTAAGAGGGCATGAAATGGAGTGGCTTTGACACTAGTTAATCCAGGGCTTTCAGTCATATCAATTGGCTCCATTGATGGCCTTTTCATATCAAAGCTTTGAATTAGGCTAGCGAGTGTCAAATGCACAATCTCTAAACCCAAAGATATACCCGGACACATTCTTCGACCACCACCAAATGGAATCAACTCAAAATTATTATCTTTGAAATCAATGTCCTTGTGACCAGTCAAGAATCTCGCAGGTCTAAATTCATTAGGGTTTGTCCACACCTTCGGATCTCGATGAATCTTTGCAAGGTTTGGTATTATACGAGTACCTTTTTGAATGTGGTAGCCGTTAATGGTGCAATCTTCTATGGCCTCATGTGGTATAGAGAGTGGGACTGCTGGATGTAAACGCAATGCTTCTTTCACAACAGCTTGGATGTAAATCAATTTATTTATGTCAGCTTCCTTAACACACCTTTCTTTTCCAATATTGGCATCTAGTTCATCTTGGATCCTCCTCACGACGTCGTAATTGTTCAATACTAAGGAGAGAGTCCATATCAAGGTTATGCTAGTTGTGTCTGTGGCTGCTAGAAGCATGCCCTATCCAATACATATGCATATGATTAGTATTTTAGAAGCTCCCAATTGTTCAATATGAAATAATTAAAATGGGGGGAAAATGGAAAGCCTTTATACATACCAAGCAAGTAGATTTGATAATGATATCCCTATCAACTCCAAGAGAATGACTTAGATTGGATGGAGCATCAAATAGGGAAAGCATGGCATCCATAAAGTCTTCTTCTTCCTTAGATTTCAAATTTCTTTTTCTTCTGTGCTCTTCAATCCACTTCTCTGCAACACAATCCATCTCCCCAGCAGTTCTTCTCATAGCCTTCTCGTGCCCTCCCAAGTCCATCCATCTCAGCCAGGGAATAAAATCTGACACCGACATCTCTCCAAACAGCTCAAACATTCTCCTAATGGACTTCAGCAGTTGGCTTTCTTCTCCCACTTCTTCTTCCTCCCCGAAAAGCATGGCTATGGAGAGGTTCATGATCAACCTGGAAAACCACTGGCTCATCTCCACTGCCACCGCCCCAGAAGCTGGATCCTTGTTGTGTGACCAGTGATCAAAGGTACGTTTGATGGCTTTTCTTACATGGGATTCCCTCACCTTCCTTAACATCTCGATTCTACGATTAGACAGGAGCTCCAGCGTGACGATCTTCTTGATTTCACGCCAGTACCGCCCGTATGGAGCAATCCCAAGCATGGAGCAGTTGTAGCCCATGATCTCAGAGGCCAGTAATCTGGGGCGAGTTGCGAGGTCCTTGTCCTTTGCCGTGAAGCATTCCTTGGCTATTTTGGAGTCGCTCACCACCAGGACGGGTTGTGAGCCGAGTCTCATTCGGAAAATAGGGCCGTATTTGTCCGCCATGGCCGCCAAGATGAGGTGAGTAGGCGTCTTCCGGCCAGCGAGAAGATGGAGATGGCCGATTATTGGCCATGCCCCTGGGACCTCGGGCGCTAGCTTTTTGTGTTGTGCGTCATTTTTGGGTGCAAGAAATAGCTTGCACATAAAGAAGACAAGCACAAATGTGCAGGCTAAACTAGGAATGATAATAGTGTTGCATAGTAGGGAAGGGAATTCCATGGCTGAATTTTGATACACAAAAGATGAACAAATTAAACAATATATATAAAGTACTTGTGTTCATAATAGCCCTACTCACACATGAGGCTAGTCACTATGTCTGGAATCTGTCCGGCCAAGTTGTATTTCTTGTCTTTTTCATTAATCTATTTTTTTTTATTATTATGCGGAAGGGGATACCCTACATATACACACTACTTGCCTCAACTCAGGGGAGCAACCGGGTACCAATGGACTATAAGCCACTTGGTTTTCATTAATCTATTTATACAATGTACTTGTTGCTTTCAAAAAAAAAAAAAAAAATTGAATCGGAGTCAAATAAACCTCTAAACTTTACACTAAAAATCAATTAGACCCCTAAATTTTAAAAAGTGCAATTAAACACTCAGACATGTTATTCTTGGTCAAATAAGTCAAATTTGCCGGTAACCTATTGGTTAAAATTATACCATCATCTTTTGCATTGACTATCATTTATTTCCAATCTTGCCTCGTTCGAGAGAAATTTTTCCAGAAAAATCTATCATTGACCAAATGGTCTCCTTCTCCAACGAATTGAAGGCAACTAGTAAAGGTCGCCTTCTTTGAAGAAGGTGACCAGAAATGGTCGCCTTCTCCTAGAGAAGTTGCCTCCGGAAAAGGCAACCAAAAATGGTCACCTTCTCCAAGAGAAGACGACCAAATGGTAGCTTTCCTCGTGATGAATATATTGGAAATGACCCAAGAATAATAAGGATTAAAGGTCCAGGAGCCCATAGCCCCGGGCCTAATAAGATGACCTGGGTAGCCCAAGAAGATGACTCGGGGCTCAAGAAGGCAACTCGGACTAAGAATGTGGTCCGTGCCAAGAGAGGCAATCTAGACCAAGGGGGTCCGGACGAAGAAGACAACCCGAACTGAGTGATTTGGACCAGGGGACTCGAATGAGGCTACCGTGCCAGGAGGCTGGACCCAAGTGCAAGGACCCAGGCCCAAGTCCCGGGGCCTAATGTTCTGATCCTGGCCTCCGCAGTCGGTCCCGGACGATCTTCGTTCCATATTTGAGCCCATCTCTGGGACTGGGGTGTCTTGGCCCAACACTGTAGCCCACCTTGTGGGTTTTGGCAAATTATACCATTGACCACGGTCTACATTTTATTGTGAACTCTGATTCAAAATAACATTCTGATTATGTGTCTGCATTGACATATGTACATGTAGTTAAGTGTTTATGTGTTTGTAAATAAATTGAAGACACATAACTTATCTACTGACACAAAATGATAACTACAGACACATAAATTGTTAACTACAAACACATAATATGTTAACTATATATTATGTATCTACAGTAGTTAACATATTATGTGTTTGCATGTAACAAATTATGTATTTATAATTATTATATTATGTGTCTATAATAAACATGCATGTTATGTGTCTTCAATTTATTTACCGAAAGAATTGTGGTGGTATGGCTGCACAAAGACAATCTGCAATTCTGCATCCAGACTTCACGTTGAAAGAATGGAGGCATGTGCAATCCTATTTTATATGTTCTAAACGTTCTTCACACAAATAACAACTTAGGCATGTGCAATCCTATTTTATATGTTTTAAACGTTCTTCACAAAAATAACAACTTATAAAATATAAAAATATATTCAGATTCTTTAATTACTCTTCAAATAATTTTCGTTTGAATGTATAACTTGAGAAATTTGCTTCTCTAAAGTTTTTTTTTTTTTTTTTTTTTTGTTTAATGTTGTTGCTTTCGTGAAATCGGAGATGTAAATAAAAAATAAATGTCCAAATACATAATGCACCGGGACATACCCCTGAATACACAAAACATAACAAAATAACCAAACAAACGAAAATACATATCTAACCGATTAAACACTTGTTGCTTTCGTGACTAGCAGGCTAGTTGATTAGTTAACACAACCGATTAAACACTTGAATAAATTTGAAAACTTAAGAGGGCAAACTGCAAAGGGCCAAATAAAAGCGAATTATATATTTATATTGCCACGAAAAATATGTTAACCCCTTACACAGTGCCCCCAGAGAGGTATTTATACATCTAACGACCAATTAAATGACACTATTAATACTCCATTAATCCCCCTAACTATTACAACTGTTACGGCTATAATCGCCACCAATCCAACCCACGTCATCGATGAAGAAGCACCCTGCCATTTAATCCCATCTTCCTCCTGGCTAACTACTCGACTCCGACTACTAAGTTGGCTGCTCGATTCCGACTGCCTTCTGAGACAACTACCCATGATCCCCAACCCATCAAGTGTGTATTGCAATAACACAAGAAAAATTAAAATAAGACAATAAAACAATATGATTTTAAAGAATTTTATAGTTCTTAAATGCTCCATTTATAATGGAGCATTTGGTATGATGGAATTGCAATTCAATTCCTACCAAATTCTATAAAATTTACAATTCTATTATTTTATTTTATTTTTTGAGAGATTATCATTAATATATTAAGGGTTCATTTGGAAATCCAGAAAATGACTTTCGAAAGTCATTTTTCATATTTTCCTATGTTTATGTATTCAATGAAAATAAAGTCAAAGGAAAAAAATTATTCGGATCAACGGAAAATTAAATGTCCAATTTCACAAAAAATGTCTTCGTCCTTGGTTTTTAGTTAGAAGACATTTTCCTGATTCTTTACTTTCTTGTATTTATCTTCTCTCTCATATCTTTTCTAGCTTCCAAATTATTATTCCCACCAGCACCACGGCACCACACCACAACCACCATCACCACCACCACCACCACTCATGCAACCACCAGCACCACCATTGCACCATCACCACAACCACTACCACCACGCCTCTACAACCACCACCACCACACCAGCGTCACCACCAACACCATCACCACAATTGAAGCACGTGCTCTATCTCAACTAAAAGCCTAAGCTGATAGTTGGATTGCACATTAATGATTATATGCTCAACAACCACAACCACCACCACCACATCACCACATCTACCATAACCACCACCACTACCATCACAACCACGTACCACGACAATGTTTTTCCTCCCGTTTTGGAAGGAGGCACCTTTGATCGGAAGGAAGTCGTGACAGTCGTCGCTTCCTTCCAAATTGAAAGGAGGCAATGACGTTTTGCCTCCTCCCGCTCTAGAAGAAGGCAAAGTCGCCTCCTTCCTCTGATCAAAAAGATGCCTTGACATTTTGCCTCCTTCCGTTCAAGGAGGCGAAGTCTCTTCCTTCTAATTTCGAAGGAGGCAGGACTGGCAAATTATATCGTGCACCGCGGTGCATAATCAATTATGCACCGCACATCAAAACCACGTCGTTTTATTTAATGAAAAGAAATGGAATCTTCGCAAGAAATAACTCTGTTCTTCAGTTTCATTTTGTATACATTGCAGTTTCAGTTCAATACAACTACAGTTTCATTTCGATATAACTACAGTTTCATTCAATATTTATACACTCAAATATGTGAAAATGTTATTTAATTTTATTTTATATACATTATAGTTTCATTAAAACACAACTACATGATCATTTCAATATAATTGCAGCTTCATTCTACAATATACACTCAAATATGTAAAATGTTATTCAGTTTTATTTTATATATACTGTAGTTTCATTTCACCACAACTACAATATCATTTTGATAATATAAAAATAATATGTGAGACAGTATAGATTTAGACACACTGTAGTGTCACTCCGTTATAACTGCAGAAACGGCGCCGTTTTGACGCGCGGTGCATAATCGATTATGCACCGCGGTCCACGATATAACGACTGGGCAAGACATCGCCTCCTTCCAGACCAGAAAGAGGTTGGAGGTGATGCGAACATCGACGACAGCAAAAAGTCAAACAAATTTAAAATAAATATTTTTTTACCGGTAATCTGTCGGTTATCGGTAAATTAAGTTCAATTACATAATTTTAAAAAGTTCAGGTGTGTAATTGAAGCTTTTTTTAGTTAAAGGATGTAATTTTTTTTTTCACCGAAAACTAAAGAGTCTATTTGACTTTTTTTCTCAAAAAATAATATTTAAAAATTTTGAATTTCAAATATATTAATAGACTCAAAATATCCATGAAGCGGCAAAACAAACGTCTCATTAATTTCTCGAGGTGATTTCTTATCACTTTTTCCTCGACAACTATAATTTCCACTAGAAGAGGGGAAAATATAATCAGAGGTGGCAAATTCTGAGAGTCCAACTAGAAGAGGCAAATCAGAAGGGTCTGACTAAAAGAGATAATAAAAGCTTTTTTTTTTCTTCCAAAGCTGAACCCAACCCTAATGTCCCCACACCCCGACTCAACAGAATATTGGGGAGGATATAAATCATGGTAACTCAACTGAACATGAACCACAGAGACTAAACCGTGCTCACTACGCACAAGAAACTCCCCTCACTGCCGCTGATGAGACTCGATCCTTGGTCATTCTTCCAAAATTTCACCTCTATAACCAGTTGAGCTGCCCATGCGGGTAAACAATAGAGTCCAATACACAACTCTTCTCTAGTAAGGACTAATCTTATCTTCTGAAAACCAAACTCGATAAAACTCCAGGTCTTTCTTTCTGAACTTCAACCCAATGTTTTACCTCAAGAAAATTCCTTTCTTTTATAATAAAAATGTTTAAACACCGGCCCCAGGACTTAGCATAATATTCCTAACCAGATTTAAAAGTAGTCATAATTGGAGCCCCTTGTGTGGCTGATTTGGGCGAGGCCGGTAGACTTAAGATTAGTCTGGCGAAATTGAGATTATCTAAATTTTTTTAAAAAAAATTAAAACAATCCAACAATCCTCCACCATTAAAAAAAAAAAAAAAAAAAAAAAAAAAAAAAAAAAAACCTTTGTCATCGAGTTATTACAATACGAAAAGAGTTACAAATTTCTGACGTATCAATGTACATGGGTGAACTAGGATTATCCTCGCAAATGCATTTTTGATGAACTTTTTAATGAAAGATATTGATTGAAAAAGGTGACATTTGCTAAATTAAAGTTTTAACATCAAATTCTCAATAATAATAATAATAATAATAATAATAATAATAATAATAATAATAAACATCAAGTGTCAAAATATCTAACATTGGTAGCATTTGTCTCTGACATATGTAGGAAAATCTGTCCAGAAAATGCCAAATTTTGGCGTCATTCACAATTTCCACAATACCAGCTAAGGCGGCGTCAAAAATTTTAAAAAGGAGTTAATTCCAACAATGGTCCTCCGACTATAGTGATTTTTCAAAATTAGTTCCCGACTTTTAATTTGGACACTTTAGGTCTCTTGACTTTCAATTTCTTTCTAATTGAGGTCCTTTCGTTAGAATACGGTTCATTAGACTTTAAATGAAGGGGTAAATTCGTCATTTCACCTGCCTATGTATTATTCTTCGTATTTCTCCCTTCGTATTTCGCTGTTATAACTTGTAAACATCTCAATAATAGAGGAACGCACACACGAGTAGTCAGCAAATGGGGAACGACGAGGAACATTTTAGGGTTTCGACTAAGATTATCTTCATATATATCGCGTATACAATGGAGAAATACTAAGAATAATACATAGACAGGTGAAATGATGAGTTTACCCCTTCATTTAAAATTCAATTAACCGTATTCTGACGAAAGGACCTCAATTGGAAAGAAATTGAAAGTCAAGGGACCTAAAGTGTCCAAATTAAAAGTCAAGGACTAATTTTGGAAAATCAATATAGTCGGAGGACCATTGCTGGAATTAACTCTTTTAAAAAGTGAAAAAAAAAAATGGGACATACATCAACTTAAAAAATCGTAAGATTATATTTTTAGTTTCTCAATTATTTTTAAAAATAAAATATAATAGTTACTCCGTAGATACTAATATTCCCAAATCCTAATATTAATCATTATAATAGTTACTCCGTAGATACTAATATTCCCAAATCCTAATATTAATCATTTGACAAATCAGGTAATTCTAACTAACACAAACTCCACAAGACCAATAAAATAAAGCAGTAAAGCAATAAGAACTGAGGGAGTTTGTTAATGTAGTTTCAACTCTTCTTTGACTTGCGATCTTTGGTATGATTGTGAGATGGAACACTTCCTTTTCCCTATGCAAGCCTGCCAGGTAATATGAAAGATCAAATTAACAGAAAAATTTTAACCGGTTTTCTTCCATAATTTTTTATTTGATTTTATTTTATTTTATTAAGAATGCAGTTAATTTAAATACTAGAGATAAGTGCTCTGTAGCTGAGGCTAGCTATGTGTTGATGTTTCATGGCAGTGTTTATTCTTTGTATTGTAAACTGATGCAAAAAAAAAAAAAATTAAAATTAAAATTGATTGTTGGGCGTAGGCTGGTGAATGGCCAAGCTTAGCTCCTTGCTTCTCACAAATGTGGCAATATAAGGAAATAAAATTGCGTCATTGCCAAGAGCTAAGCGTTTGATACTAACAAGTAGTATCAGAGTCAGGTCACGGATCTATGCAGTGAAGAAGGCCGGTGAAGGATAAAGTCCAACAATTGGTGGCTAGAGGGATTGTGACTACCAGAACTCAATGCAGAAGGCCGATGAAGGACCAGTTAGCAAGTGGTAGCTAGGGAGATTGAGACTACATACCATAACTCAATGTAGAATGATAGAGAAAGAAAAACAACCTTCTCAACAATATGTCTTTGTCAAGTGTGATTGAGACTACCATAACTCAATAATGCAGAAAGCTAGAGAAAGAAAAACTACCTTCTCAACAATATGTCTTTGTCAAGTGTGATTGAGACTTTGTCAAGTGTGATGCCATAAGGGTTTCCATATTCCTCCTCAAATAAAACTAATAGGTTTCCTGTTGGTTTGAGAAATGATCTAGGAACATTGTACCTGGCAAGAAATCTACAAATTTAGTTGTTGGCCTCTCAACTTTGGGTTCATTTACTAAAAATTAAAAATTATATCAAGTGTTTTTGGACTTATTGGACTACAACTTACCAAGTTTGTGAAGGTGTGCCTGCAACTGTATGATATGAGACCCAGTATCGGCCAATACTTTGGCCATTAACCCAAGCTTCTCCTTTCCCCATAGACCCAAGGTTTAAAGCAAGAGGATCATTGCCCTCAGGCTCATCAAAAACTGTCTGTCAAGTGGTTTCAACTTTTAACTTAATTAACAAGAAATGACAATAGAGTTTCGGGGCAGATAGAGCTGTCAATACGGGCTGGGCTGGGCTGGCGAGGCATGCCAAAAAAGCCCGCTCCTTGGCGAGATGCTATTTTCGAAACCCACCTTTACTTAAGTAGGGGCGCGGGACGGATCGGCCTGACGGGCAAAGCCTGTTTTGACAGCTCTAGCTGGCAGATAAACTTTCTTAATTGTTCTCCACTCCTGCATGCAATGCATAAATGTACTACATATCTTAAACTACACTTGAGAGGCAAACCATTATATTCACTTACCTTATACCATATAAGTGGTTGAGAAGAGCTAAACTCTCTCCACTGAACAGCATTTGATCCTTTTTCAGTGTAAATTTGCAAGTTCTCTCCCAACAATCCAACCTTTACACAACGACGAGAAGCTATGCATGAAAACTAAACTTTTATTTCTAATGGCATTATATTGTTTAAAACCTCAATAGAGTCAGATGAAGATCATTCTATCGGGTAACTTTTTGAAACTTTTGTGATTCTATTATTTATATTTCTATCTGCAATGGTTAAACTCAGTAGTGTTAAAAATTAGCAGAAGAGCAGGGTATGATATGTGAACTAATTAAGGCTACCTGATATCCCCATGAATCATTAGAAAGATCCTCACTTCCTTCACTGCTTTCAATTGTCACTTTCCGGGGTCCAAGAGTTTTATGCTCAAGATATGCTCCTGAATTCTGTACATAATATACATACTATGACTGAGTTTTCTATGTTTGCTGTTAGTATGTTTAGCGAAACCGCAACTTTATTTTCTTATATCCCACATTTTCGAGAAACAAGTGCTGAACTTGGCCCTTTCAGGCCTCCGACGCCCAACAATCCCTAGCCACCCGGTGCTGGACTTGGCCCTTCACTGGCCTCCGCCCAACAATTTCTCCTAGCACCCTGACTATAAAAAATGTGACAAGTATAAGGAAATAAAGTTGCACCTTCGCTACTAGGTATAGTTTATAGTGTAGTAGCGATAAACGCTTGATCCTAATAGAGATGAAGTAATTACTGGTAATCCGACTGTTGCACTTAGCAGGGAAATGTTGTTCATCCCCTTATTCAGAGAAACTGTGCTCTCTAGTGTAAAACTCGAGTTCCTAAAAGTTCCATGTGCAGAACCTGAAAACATGAGAATAAAATCAGTAGTAATTTTTATAGTGTTCCCTTCGCTATGAGCTATAGCTTTTGATCCTGACAGTCCAACAATATAATGCTTACCTGCTAGTTCTCCATTAACGAATATATGTAAAACGTGTCCTAAAGACTCCACACTGATTGCAGATTTGGGATCTGAGGATTCTTGCTGTAAACTGTCATAGAAATTTAAAGTTAGTAAATTACAAAGCATCATAGATTTTGTGAAAACCCAAGCAAAAGTTTAGGGCTTAGTTTGTTACCTCAATGTGTACCATAGGTAATCAGATACATCTTTAGTAGTGTTGATGTGGTCTAGCAATGTGTCTGCTCTTATGTTGGTGTCATCAAATCCGACAACTAGTTCTTCGAATTCTTCCCATTCCTCAGTTGAGTCGAACTTCAGTGCTGGCTGCATTGTTCTTGTATTCGATTGTGTAGTTACCTGTTGGCAATGGAAATCAAGAAAGCAAAAATTTGGAGCATTTAGCACTGAAAAAGGTGGTTAGAGATTTCAAAGAGAATGTATATGCAGAACTTGCCTTGGCAGTGTTGAAAGCTACTGTCTTGCAGTCTGGTAAGATGCTAATAGATTTTGGAGGCAGTTGATAAGAAGAATTTTGAAATTGCACCTTTGCACTATGTTTGCCATCATTGTTTATTAGAAAAGCAGCACAAGCTCCTGATGAATCTCCACGGAACACATAGGCCTGCAGGTTCAATAATTAGGTATTACCCGTCACGTTTTTAATAGGCAGGATGCTGGACTTGGCCCTTCAGCCCTTCAATTCGCCCAACAATTCCCCCTAGCACCTGCTAGCTTAACCCGTGACCTGGTCCTAATACCACTTATTAGGATTTAACCACTACGCCAAAAATTATATATCTAACTAGTAGCAAAGACGTAACTTTAATTTATTTTCTTATTATACCCAATTACCCACCACATTTTCGATAGCTAGGCAAGGTTCTGGACTTGGCCATTCAGGCCGGCCTCCGCCCAACCATCTTGTTTTTTTGGGTATACTCAGGGTTTCCACCGTTGAACACAGTGACTAATCCCCTCGCTGGATTGTAAGTATTTCTTTTGGGTAGGACAGCTGGCCTGGAGATTTAAGGCTGTTTCATTCCCAAAGCCAAGGATCGAACCTTGACCATCTTGTTATTCTCTTTTTCATTTATATTTTCTTTTTTCAAGCAATGAGGTAGGAAAGTGGGCTGAATAGAAACCAAGAACAAGGTAGAGCATTTTTACTTGTTGAAATTGAGCCAGTGAAAAGGTAGAGGGTGTGGCCGAAAGGAGGATTTGTGAGCACATTTTGATGGCAGCATGCAACTCCTTAAGATGGCTCCATTTTGGCTCTCTGAGTAAACCTGCAGATAATAATGGAGAGTAGAAAAATGCACATCTTAATCATCAAATACTAGGATTTGGATCTTACCATATTCATCTAGGGGAGCTTGGTCATAATAACTTGTTATCATAAACGAAGCCGCTGTCCTGCCGAAATTGGTTCCCCCATGATACTATATATATATATATGTTTAGACCAAGAACAAGTTCTGTGTTAAGAGGATAGCTTTACTATATATATTTAGCTTTTTACTTGTACTTAATTTGGCTTTGTTGAGTTACCATGTAATAGTTGATATAGCTCCCATTCTTCCTGGCAATGAAAAGGGCAACATGGAAAGCTATATCTTCAGCTGATCTCATCAGTGCATCGCTGCCGTATACTTGATAGCTTAGACCACAAACAAAGGAGCCAATTCAAGTCATTTCCAGAAACACCTAGCCACTACAAAAGAGTGTGCACTGAATAAACCCCGCCTTTTGACCTAGCCGGCAAAAGGTTAAACCAGCCTAGATTACTCATAATTGACCGGCTCAAACCAAGGTCAATAGGTCGTTCCTGGTGGGGGTTGAACTTATAACCTTATGGTTACCATTTACCAAGTCAACAATCTGACTAAAAGTATGAAAAGCGGCAAATTGGAGCTCGAGGCCCGTGCCCTCAAAGTGGACCGAATCTGAGAGCTCGGCGATCGATCACGCGGGCCAAGGCCTTAATCCAGGTAATTTGAAAATAGAATAAGTTGGTTGTGATTTCCTTGTGTATATGCTTACAAGCTTGTCCAGTTCTCTGTCCAAATTGCTGGCTTATTTGGTGAGTTTGGAGCAAAATTTATCTCCCCACATCTCATCCCATTGCATGCATTAATCTGCTGACAGATAGATATATGGTTGTGTTTATATATATACATCCAATTAAGAGATTGATATATATATATATATATATATGTAAATGGAATGAAGGTGGGAGAGCTCACAACAGGATCAGGAGCATCATCTTGCTTGCACATGAGCCAGGGCACACCAGTCTCAAGTCCTACTGCCATTTCTGCTGCCCAGTGAACATAAGGTGGACCCTTCTCCCGAAACGCCTTCTCTATATTTTGGTATTCGTTTTCAATCTATTTGTTTGAAATCAACTATTTTTCAAATTAGAAAATAGAAAACGAAAAACAGAAAACATGGACTAAGTTGGGCTTGTGTTTTTCAAATTAACAAAGGAAATTGAGTAGATATGCAAATGTGGGCCCGGCACGGCCGTGGGTCGGTACGGCACATCCTTGTATCTGGGACTGTACGGGACCACCCTTTCTGCAATGTAGGTCGAATTAGGCTTGTGTTTTAAAAATGTGGGTTGAACTGGCATGACATAACCTACATTAGTGTCAGTCGTTGTGGGCATGACTTATTTGACATTACTAAATTTGGTAACACTTTCTTGACCAAGCCTTTGGATTTGTTTTGGGCGGGATAGATCAGAGAAAAATAAGATTTAACCTGAGAAAGAATGATAGGACCTCCTTGAGAAGCATACAATCCCTCTGACTTCATCAAGTTCACTATCTTTTGTGTGTAATTTTGCATGTAGAGCTGACAGGAAGAATAATGGATTTGACACAATTAACTTTGACATTTACATGAGGATCATAGAAAGTTGAGGAATTCAATCATTACCTTAAAAGGTTCATTGTCAGATCGGAAAATGATGCCAGGGACATCATGCAACCAAAACGGAAAACCCCTGTAACACTCGCCACAATTTCTTCTCAGTATCAGCCATAAAACTGAAGGAATAAGATTCAAATTGGCCATTGAACGTAATCTAAAAATGTAAGGCTACTGAACGTATAAAAAAAAGTGTAATTAGGTCACTGAAGACTCCAAATGTATGCAAGTGCAATTAGGTCACTGAAGACTCCAAATGTATGCAATTTCACTAGATAGTAGGTTACCATCAATTTTAGCATGTTACCTGCCTACGTGGCAGCTGAGTTAGCATTTTTAATAGTTTTTAAATAATTTTAATAATAAATTTTAAAAAATTAAATAAAATAAAACAACGGGGTGGCTTTTTAAAAAAATGAAAATTTTATTATTAAAATTTATTAAAAATATCAACTTAGCTGCCACGTAAGCAGGTAACATGTTAAAATTAATGGTAACCTGCTATCAGATGAAACTGCATACGTTTGGAGTGTTAGTGACCTAATTACACTTTTTTTTTTTTTCGTTTAGTGACCTAGTTGCATTTTCAGGTTACGTTCAGTGGCTAATTTGAACATTATTCCTAAAACTGAATATTAATTAAACATCAATTCATCCTAAGAATTTAGTAATCACTGTGATACGATGCGACAATATTAAATTTTAAGTCTCATAATTAAAGGTGAAATTAGAGTGTCCAAATAACTTTTTTCTTACCCATAATTCCATTCAGCTTCAATATATGGTCCGATGCGAAGGCATGCATAAAGACCTTGTGCTTGAATTTCCTTCATGAATCTTACTATATCATTTCTTCCGCTGAAATCGTACTGAAACGCACATATACACATCCAATTATCTGAAAAAATAACCTTTTATTTCACTTGTGCAATAAAATTTTAAAATAAACGATTATTACTTCTACAGTCCAAAAAGTATTTTCTTTTTTGAGTGGATATCCAAATTTTTAAAACATATAGGTATTTATTAAGTGAAAATTTAAGGGTTCGGAGTATTTTTGTATTGAATATTAAATGCATACGTAATAAATATTGGTATTTCAAATTCTTATTTAAATTGTATTTTCTTGGGTATTAAGGTACGGACTAATAAGCCAATCATATTCTGCTCAAATAGCATGCACTGACTCTCACATATAAGAGGTCATGAAATTGAGCCTCAGTGGAGACGGTGTTAACTCTTTGTGCTTCAATAGGTTGAGAACGTATAGATGAACAGAGGACAATTATTTACGGATGCAAGAAATATTAAATTACAAAATAAACAAAAATAAGATCGAGTCTTATAAATCAGGGAACTTTATATTAGAAAATATGGTTTCAATATAATCTCTAAAGTCTGATTATTCACAATATTTCAAAATTTCTCTATCAGATGTAACCAAATAAATAAAATGAGAGGTGTATGTGACAAATTATTGTGTGGACCATAGTCCATAATAAAAAGTGTACATTTTTAATATACTAAAAATACATTAATCGTATACTAAATATACATAATACGAAATAATGTATTTTTAGTACTCAAATAATATATATTTTTTTGAATACAATATACATTTTTAATATATTAAAAATTATATTATTTATGTACTGAATATACATTATTTAATGGTATATATGGTCCACATAGCTATGATGATTGGGTGTATGTTGTACCTGACCAGGTTGAGGCTCATGAATATTCCAAAATGTGTATGTCTCGATTACGTCCAACCCTCCTTCTTTGGCTTTTGTTATCAGAGATGGCCACATCTTTTCAAAGTATTAAAAAAAAAATTATGCTATTAAAAGAATGAAGAATTTCATGGTAGCCATGGACGAGGACCTTCATCCTCATCCATGGCTACCATGGCTGGACGAGGACGACTTGTCTTTGTTCTTGATCAGGAATATATGACCAAAATCATTAAATATATGATGTAGAAACTAAAGGTAGTAGACTAGTAGTGTTATTTTATCTACTTTTTCCTTTCTCATAATCATTGAATTGCTTTTACCCCATGAATTGCAATTCAATAAGAGCAGGAAATTGCAATTCAACAAAAAGAAAGAATTTCGTGGAATTGCATTTTCTTCCAACCAAACATTGTAATTGGAGTAACCAAAGAATTGTGACAGAATTATAATGCAATTCATATCTACCAATCTCATATATACCCAACTATCTTTGAACGACCGTCGACCCATCAATTATTACACCATGGACCATGACCCACCTTGTACGGTGGATCACTATCGTAATATTTATTTTTAGCTGTGTTGTAAAAATCGGCCTAGGTAGCCGACTAGGTGCTGGGCGCCCTTAGGCTGAGGCGATTTCTGCCCTAGGCGGTATGTAGTTAGCTAACCGACTAACTGGCAGACTTGGCTGAGTTAAGCGCCTAATTCGGCCAAGTCGGGCGCCTTACTCGACTAAGTCGGTGCCCAACTCGGCCAAGTGATTTTTTTTTGTCTGCTCAGCTACTCCTTTTTTTATATTTCTCCAGTCATGTACTCAACTAACCATCTAACATATGCAGTTGACTAGTTTGAGAATTATAACAGTCTAACAACTCATAGCCCTAAGTGAAAAAAGTAAAGACGATAAACTCAAATTACTCAACCACCTAAGCGCTAGGCGCCCCCGTCGTCCAACTAACGACTTCAGCAACATTGATTTTTAATATGTTAAAAATTAATTATTAATATAAATAATAAACTTTCAATACATTATAAAAGTGAACTTTTAATATACTAAAAACAAATATTTATCTATTATCCACGTTGCGGTGCCTTTCACAATATAATTTGTCTCTACACATTAACCCAAGCTAATAAGAATAGACGGGAAGAAATGGAAGTGGTAGCTGTAGCTAACCAACAAATTGTAGTCAAGTAATGCCGTAATGGAAATAGTTGTGTCTTCAGCCTGCACTGCATCTCGGTTATATAAATTATACATTTTTATGTAATAAATTTGGAATCAAATCTTAGAGGAAAAATTGTAATTTATGTCCTTCACAAATATGTCAATTATCAATGTCACCTCTGAATTATCAGTGATGTAAATGTTGCCCCTTAATTTTCAAAACGTGACATATATTGTCCCTCCCCTAATAGGAAGAAGGAGAAAAATTGTTGTCGACGGAAGTAGAATAAGAGAAGAAAGAAAATTTGAGGAAAAAAACGTGGTCTTCGGACAAGAAAGACGACGGGTAACCATATTTAGACCACTAATAATTCAAGGGAGGGGCAATATATGTCACGTTTTGAAAATTGAGGGGTAACATTTACACCACTAATAATTCAGGAGTAACATTGATAATTGACATATTTGTGAGCGGCATAAATTACAATTTTTCCAATCTTATATATTATTCGTTTTAGAAATATAAAACGGATGGAGTTAATTGCTATGTTGAGGAAATTAATGACCTTATTTCACAATTAGATATATATTAGCTATTAGAGAATTATTTACAATTAACAATAACAAGTGGTGTTAGCAGTTTTTTATCAACTGATTATATTAGTTATTTATTAAAAAAATGGTAAAATTAATTGTTTAATGTTAGCGAGTAGCGATTAATACGTAAAAATTATTTTTTTTTAAAAAAGAATTATAATAAGGACCTGGTTATAATAGTAACAACAACAATAATAATTAATAAATTATATAACAATTACATTTAATATATAGATATAAAGAATAAATATTATTTCTAATAATAATTAAATAAAATTAAAATAATAAAAAATCTAACAACAAATTTAATAAGTTAAATATTTTAAAATTTTTGAACTGAAAGGCTCCCCAATAATGAATTAAATTTTAAAATGAAGGATTTGTAAGGTTAGAATAAAATTTAAAAAAATAATATAAATTTATAAGAGAGATATAGAAATTAAAGCTAGCTAGCTTACATCCGGAGTGCTACGAGGATAATGAATAGAACCAGAGAATAAAAGCTTCCGTTGGGCGTCGATGATTAGTGATCTCCCGTCATACGTGACGTAGTCTACTCCACCGACGGCAACCGCCGCGGCCACGGCCACCAGCCACCGTACCCACCACCACCTATACATGTCTGTCTGTACGTAGTGTATGTATAATAAGCCTCTGGATAAATTAGCAGAAATATAATGAGGAGTCAAAATACATACTTCAATTATATTTCTCTGCAAATTTAATTTATTGGTTCTGTCGTCAATGCACAATGTTGAGGATTTATACTATTTAAAGAGGAAAAAAATTGTGTAGCTTTAAAGCAAAGATTTGAAGCCGACAAGTGAAATGAAGGGATGCATTAGACAAGTGAAGGGACAAGCAATGCCAATGCATGGATTTTGGCTTATACGGAGGCTTAGAGCTGTCAAAGAGGAGTTAAATTCATGAAAAAACATTGGGCGTGTTTGGTGTTGTTTGGGTTATTGAGTTTGATGCATTAGCGAATTGTAGAAAGATGTTTGGTAAATTAGATGATAGCTTATTATATGCCAAATAGGTTTTTTTTAAAAACCTGTTTTGAACAACTTTTTGAATTTTAATGTTTTAGAACAATAAATTATTACAAAAAAACTAATTAATCAAACACTTATATTGACAGTTTAATTAAGTCAAACAATTAATAGTGATCAAATACGACAAAATTAACTGATAAACTAATTATTTAGGTTACCAAAGGGCCATTATATTATTTTCTCCTACTAAACAGGTCATATTAATTACTATGTTAGTTTTGGTCTATTGCATTTTTTGAGTTGAATTGTTGGATTGCATTTCCATGTGTAATTCATTGACTAATTTCTTGATTAATGTAGTTAAATTTGAGTTGCGAATTGTGATTAATTACTTAAAGCCCAAATTCAAATAATTTTGATCCAAGAATATTGGCGAACCTACCTACTTTCGCCCATTTGGATGCTTTGCTGAATTAGGAATGTACACTAAATTGTTACATAATCTTTGGGTGCGGAAGCAAGAAGAATTAGAAGATTGGATTAAATGTTTGAATTCCAAACGTTATTAGTTAAATTTAAATATCTTCTTCCAAAAGTTGAATCCTCAACCCCAAGGACCGACAAATTATGTTGTGCAATCGTGTGCACGGTGCGCACAGTTGCAAAAAGGGCGTCGTTTTACTTTTAAAAAATCATTTTCGATTGCCGTTAGTTACGTAAACATATGTTCATAATTTAATAATTTCACATTCTGAATGTATAGTTATGAAGTTACGGATGTGTAGTTATGCAATTTTGAATGTATAGTTATGAAGTTATGGATGTGTAGTTATGCATGCAATTCTGAATGTATAGTTATGAAGTTATAATTTCACATTCTGAATGTATAGTTATGGATGTGTAGTTATGCAATTCTGAATGTATAGTTATGAAGTTAATGGATGTGTAGTTATGCAATTATGAATGTATAGTTATGAAGTTATGGATGTGTAGTTATGCAATTCTGAATGTATAGTTATGAAGTTAATAGATGTGTAGTTATGCAATTCTGAATGTATAGTTATGGATGTGTAGTTATGCAATTCTGAATGTATAGTTATGGATGTGTAGTTATGCAATTCTGAATGTATAGTTATGGATGTGTAGTTATGCAATTCTGAATGTATAGTTATGAAGTTATGGATGTATGCACAACATAACGCCGTTAACAGCAATCGAAACTGATTTTTTTTTTTTTTTTTTTAAAGTTGGACGTCAAAACGACATCGTTTTTGCAACCGTGTGCACCATGCATGGTGCATGGTGCACACGGTTACACAGCATAACGCTCCCCAAGGACCCTTACACTTCGGTCCGACAGAACATTTGGGAGGATGTGACTTAATGGGTCAGCATACATGATTAAATATCGGTACGCTACAAGAGATCTATCCACTTTGAGCATAATCCACACTCCCGCTACCTAGGTATCTTATAAGAGTATGAAACTAGATTTGATGGTGGCTTGATACGCTTTCAATAAATTAAATGAACCCCTTCTCGAATGGAAAAACTAATGTAACCAGCACTTTGCTTCTTAATTAGATCGGTCTGATACAAATGAAAATTAATTTAAGTATGATATGTAGAGCTGTCAAAACGGTCTCGCGGGACGGGACGGGCCAAAACACACCAAAGCCCGTCCTCGTAGCGGGACGGGCTAAAAAGCCGACCTCTTAGCGGGCTTGGAATGTGGTCAGCCCGCCCCGCCATGCCAAAGCCCACTAGCGTGGCGGGCAAGCCCGCCAATCAATTTTTTCACTGCGTTAATTTTTTTTTTTTTAAATATCACTGTACAATATCCTTTAAAAAAAAAAAAAAAAAAAAAAAAAAAAAAAAAAGAGATCACTGTACAGACGTACAGTACACTAACACAATAACACTACCTAGTATTGTATTCCTATAAATCTATAATCCTATAAGTTATAACACACTAACACAATTACACAAACCAAAATAACACAAAAAATAATATGTATTAAATACTAAATATATATACAAAATATATATGTATTAGCAGGTCGCAGGCTAAACCCGTGACCCGCCTAACCCACCCCACATGGACCCATGACCCAGGCGAGGCGGGCTAAAAAGCCCGCCTCCTGGCGGATCAAAATTTGAAAAATCCGTCCCCTATCTACGGCGGTACGAGACGGGTCGACCCGACGGGTAAAACCCATTTTTGACGGCTCTAATGATATGGGCTTCAAGATGCCTCCTCCAATTAGGACCCGAAAATAAATTCTAGTGTCGTGTTTACCATGTAACTGCACACGTCTAGGTATCTTATTAAAGAAGTATGAACTTTTCTGTTTTACAAATTTTAAAGAATTGGGTGTCTTCCCTACGTATTTTAATCATTAAAGCTATAGATAGACTCGTCATCATCTCAACAGAACACGTCAAAGCCTAATTACTGCAATGCTATAATTCTATTGTTTATGCTAATTGCCATTCATAGGTCATTGTGTTTCAATTGTTCAAATAAATACTATATTTATTAGTAATATATAAAATAATATATCATCACAAACATAAATGCTGCACGAAATGAATGACAAATAATTCCAAATTAAACATGTTTTACTCACGATTTATACAAAGATGTAAAGTTCTCTCCACGCAACCAAAATGTAGATAGGGATTCGACCTAAAATAAGATAATAACCTTTTTAATTAGTAATAGTATTGGAAAAAAAAAATTCATGAAGAATAACATAAAGGAGTGTGTGTTGGATCTTGGATTTGGTGGCTAAGATAGGGGAAGAAAATTAAGTCTAAGGATCCAAGAGTAATGGATAATTAAGATGTAATGGAACTATAGAAATGGTGATAATAATGACTATCAATGCAATTCTTTTTCTTAGTGCTAAGAGCATCCGTAGTAGTTAAAAATTTTTGTAGGTTTTTAAGTGCTACATAAGAGTGAGAAGGAGAGAAAAAAAGGAAAAAAGAAAAAGGGGGGAAAACCGAATCAGATAATTCTATAAAAAAAAAAAAATAGCAAACAAAGATTTTTGAGTTAGAGTGGCCGCCAATTGGAGGCCACTCTGACGCGCCCGCTTGGGGCGTGAAGTGCGCTCCACTTACACACTTCTGACTTTAAAAATAAAAATAAAATCTTTGCAAGAGTAAAATTTTTGGAAAAACTAACCTCCACATCAACTAAAAACCAAATGCTAGTTTTTTACTTCTGAAAAATCTTAGAAAAAACCACAAGTGTGGTTGCCCTAAGGTCGAAAAAAATGTTACAACTAGAGTGTATAGTATATGCTAAGCAAAATTAGACTTATATACTACAAAAATTATAAAGTTTTGAGGGGTTTAACACTACATCGTAATAAAATTTAAATACATTTTTTTCTAACAATTTTTTCATTTTTACGATGACAAAACATATACTCAGTCATTAGCTGAATCATGTTAAACTTTCAACAGTTGTATATTTTTCTTTTTAAAGTTTCAGTCATTCATGAGTTTGACAATAATATGAAACTACAATTTAGACAGACTCATATACATGTTTTGTGGCTGATTGTAACACTAACTTATATTAGCAATTTTTATTAGAATTTCAGCACACTAAAACAAACGTTTATACACATAATTTTCTAAAACACTCTAAGGGCTCGTTTGGTTCGCGAAAAATATTTTAAGGGAAGTGGAATTGAAATTCCATGAAAAAACAATTACTAGGAAGATGAATTTCATTGTTTGGTTGGTGAAAAAAGAATTATTGGGAATACTAATTCTATTGTTTGGTTAGATTTGGAATTGTAAGGAATTATGAGTATAAAGACTTATATGCCCCTACAAATTAATAAGAGTAATATAGTTAAGAAAGAAAACAAGGTGGGTGGGAGTTGATGTCTTATGCCTTTTATGCAAGCATTTATGTATCTCAACCAAAGTCACGCCTTTGTGTCTTTCTTGGCTACTCGACCACTCAGTCTGGTTATAAATATCTGGATCCTGGTTCCAACCGTATTTTATGTATCTAGGCATGTTAGATTTGTGCCCCATGTGTTTCCTTATAACGATTTGCACAACTCGTCTAGCAGCTTACCTTCTTATTCCCATGGTTCAGAATCAAGCAATATTTTGTACAGGTCGTCTCCTTTGTCTACACAGGTAGAGATCATGGGTGTTCCAACACCAGTTTCGACACCAGTTCCAACTCCAGACCCAACTCCGTCACTATCAGCTGCGTCCAATTCGTCGTCTCCCACTATTCCAGAAAATGGCCAACATGCAGCTCAGTCCGTGTCTGACTCTCAGCCTGTTTCCACCTCCGACACATCTCAACCAATGAGTAATGTTCGTCGTTCCACCCGGGAGCGTCGTCCTAATCCTAGGTATTCCGATTATATCATTAACCAAGTCACATCACATCACTTGCCTCTCACTTTAGAACCTACTACCGTCGCCCAGGCTCTTAAAGATGCTCGGTGGAGGAAAGCGATGGATGAAGAGTTTGAAGCGCTCCAGCGTAATAAAACGTGGCAATTGGTTCCCCACGGAGCAGTACAGTTGTCCCAATTGGCTGCAATTGGGTTTATCGTGTCAAGTGCAAGCCAGATGGGTCGGTTGACAGGTACAAGGCGCGGCTGGTTGCCAAAGGGTTCCTCCAGACTGCTGGCCGGGATTATTTTGAGACGTATAGCCCGATTATGAAACCGGTGACCATTCTTGTGGTTTTGACGATTGCCCTGAGTAATCGCTGGATGTTGCGCCAATTAGATATCAACAATGCATTTCTTCAGGGGACATTGCATGAAGAGGTATTCATGGAGCAGCCACAGGGGTTTGTGGATCCCTCGTTTCCATCCCATGTTTGCAAGCTGACTAAAGCTCTATACGGCCTTAAGCAAGCACCGAGGGTTTGGCACTTGGAGCTATCGCAGTTCTTGTTACAGTGTGGCTTTGTGAAGTCACAAGTAGATGCTTCTTTATTTGTTTTCTCTGCTAATAATGTCGTCGTTTATTTCATGGTGTATGTGGATGATATTATCTTAATAGGTAATGATGTTGCCTGGCTTAATCGCTTTGTTGACACTCTGTCAGCTCGTTTTGCTCTCAAAGACCTTGGCTCCTTACATCATCTTTTGGGCATTGAGGTCGTTCCATTGTCAACTGGACTGTTTCTGACTCAAAGACAATACATCACTGATATTCTAGTTCGGTTTAAGATGGATGGTACAAAGGCTGTTTTAACACCACAAACTACCACGGACAAGTTGCTACCTACACTGTCTGATTTTACACTGGTTGATGTCACTCAGTTTCGGCGTATCCTCGGCTTATTGCAATACCTGGTCATCACTAGGCCAGATGTATCCTATGCGGTCAATCGTCTTTCGCGGTTCATGCACTCACCTACATAGCTGCACTGGCAGGCTGCTAAATGGTTGCTATGCTATTTGAAGGACACAGTCTATCATGGCTTGTTTCTCCGGGCTGGGTAACCGCTTTCGCTGACTGTGTATACGGATGCTGATTAGGGAGGTTGTACTACTGATGGCCGCTCCACCACCGCATACTTAGTGTATCTCGGTTCCAATCTCATATCTTGGAAGTCCGCTCGCCAGAAGTCCGTGTCGCGATCGTCCACGGAGACTGAGTACCGAGCCTTGGCAAACGCTGCTGCAGAAGTCTTGTGGGTAAGGAATTTGCTCTGTGAGCTTCAATTGCAGCTAGTGAGACCTTCTCTTTTGTTCTGGGATAATCTTAGCGCAACCTATGTGTGCAAGAACCCGGTGTTCCATTCGCGTATGAAGCATCTGACCCTTGATTACTTCTTTGTTCGTGACTTAGTTGCTAATGGTTCACTAGTTGTTCGGCACATCCCTTCCAAAGATCAGCTAGCTGACTTCCTGACCAAACCATTGGGTCGGTCCTTGTTTCTTCAGTTCCGTTCCAAGATTGGAGTCTCCGACAGATCCTCAATCTTGCGTGGGCGTGTTAAAGATATGTGTGGCTGATATCTTCTGTTATTGTATTTAGTCCTAGTCTAGCTCCTGTATAATAGTTATTAGACTAGTTGTTGTAACTATTAGCTATCTTTTCTCATTTGTACAGCTATTTATAGCTGCCTATGGTTTCATCAATAAATCACTTGTTCATAATCTTATCAGCATTATCCAGAAACAATGCGATACTTATTTTGTGAGTGTGTGCAGGTTGGTCCTTTATGGATAGAGCTCAATCCTAGCTTACTTCCTGCTACAGATGAGGATTTTCTAAGCTGGATTTTTAGACGTTTGACATCAGATGATATGGCTTTGAAGCTGCGATGGGTTGCCCTATGCTGGTGTGTTTGGAGAGATCGGAATGCTACTGTTTGGAATAAGCAACCTTGGGATATTGCTAAGACAAGGTATGCTGCTATGCGTTTGTTTCATGAATGGTCTGTAGGAGGCTAACCGGCCAGTGATGGTCATATAAAGTTAACACAACGCAAATCAATCAACCGTCCTCTACTAATGATGATATCTTGTCTGTTTTCGTTGATGCAGCGGTCTTTCCCGGACATAATCAAGCCTTCTTCGGCTGTTTGATTAGAAATGGTAATGGTGACTTTGTGGCTGCAAAAAACGGTCATCTGCGTTGTTTGGAGGACCCCCATTTAGCTGAAGCTTTAGCGATTAAAGAAGTTCTCTCATGGCCCATAGAACGGGGTTTAAGGAAAATCAAGTTATACTCGGATTGCCTGAATGTGTGTAATCAGATTGGTGGTTCTCTACCGGACTACTCGTATGCAGGCTGTGTTATCAAGGATTGCCGAGTTCTACAACGACACTTTGAATCAGTGTCTATCAAGTTTCTATCGCGATCAGCGAATGAGTTGGCTCATGTTATAGCTAGAGCGGCTCGTTCTCAACCTGGTCCTTCTATTTGGTTATCTTTTATTCCTAGATGTATTGAACATCTATTTTAATAAAGTTTTTTGAAGTTTCTCCTCAAAAAATAAAATTTTAAAAAAAAAAAAAAACAAGGGTAAAATAGCCAAACTATACAACTTTTTCTTCCCATCTTCCATGGAAAACAAAATCCTTGGTCCAACCAAGGATTTTGTTTTCCTCAAATTCGATGAATTCATTTTCTAATGGAAGATGAATTCTATGAACCAAACACCAAAAAACAACATTTTCCTCCATTTAAGGAAAATATTTTCCTTTGAAAAACATTTCCATGAATCAAACATCCCCTAAGACTAAAAAGAAACAAACAATATAACTTTTCATTAAGCAAAAGTGTTAGTACATCATACATTTACAATATATAACCCAAAAAAAAAAAAACTTTAAATTTACAAAAGATAAACTAGGAAGCCTTTATGCATTTTACCCCCTTTTTTGATTGCCTGCTTTCCTTGTCCTCAAAACTTAGAATTTCATTGATGTTATTCCTGATGTTATTATTTCATTGATGTTTGATGATGTCAATCAGATTGCGGAGCTGGATTGGTGTGCGTATCTCTTGAAGTGCATGATTAAAAGTCATAAAGATTGGGCGCAACACTAATTCCACAAGTACTATACACTGGACCCATCATGTTCCTAACTGTGACTTTGAATCTTAACTAACTAAAATCCACCATAAAAGTCACTATGTAATCTGTACCTTAATTCCAGTTGTCTTTCTGTTTGTTACAGCTCCTATACGCAGACCGGTTGGTGTTTGGCAACCGAATAGTACCCAACAAACTCAAATAATTAAACAAATGCATATACCCAAGGTGGCGGGGTTGGTACGCCACACTCCAGCCATATATATTCTACAGCCACATAATTTCATAATATAATATGTTGTGTATTACACAACTACTAATCTATTTCAAGTACAGACTCCATATGCTTAAGGTACAGAATTGCATAACATGAGACACAAAAACACATACATATGTTTTATATTTACTTTAGTTCAGGTACAAAATCAATATTTTTAAGGTCAGTGTTACAAAAATCGCGCCTATGCGCTAGGCGGTCGGCCTCCTAGACGCCCTAAGCGGTCCTCAGGCGCCTAGCGATTTTTTCAACATTGCTTAAGGTACAAAATCGCATAATATAAGACACAAAAGCGCATCACACAAGATACAAAAACGTATAGCGCAAGACACAAAAGCGCATGTTATATTTACGTTATTTCAGATACAAAATCCATACGCAGGTACAAAATTGCATAACATGAGACATAAAAACGCATAACACAAGATACATACACATAGACATTCTTATTGATCCAAGTATGTTTACAAAGTTAACTAGGGTAGCTGGCCAAACATTTTTTAGTACATAATTTAAAGTTGAAACATATGTAACAATTGAGATGAAGATTAAAATATGATTACATTCGAATCGACCTGTCAATTAGAACAAGCACATGCTTCTAATAATTGTTTTTGTGGTTGCACATGTTTATGAAATCATAATTTATACTTTAAAAAAGAAGTTCTTACAAAATATTTTTTGAATAAAATGAAGGCAATTTACTTTTGTTTTTGAAGACTTCAAAAAAGAAAAAAAAAGAAAAAACTTATTTTAGAATACAAAGAGTTTTAATATATATTTTTTGAATGCAGTATCTGTTCATAAAATACTTTCTCAATCAACTGAAACACAAAGAATCAATGCCACCTCCATTGAGGCTCAAACCCACTCCCTTCCATGTGGGAGTGCAACCCAAGTGCCATTAGACCACAAGGTCTTGGCATATATATATATATATATATATATATATATTCTCTTTTTTCTCAGTCTTTTTTTTTCTTTCTCTATGTATCTCTATTTCCCCTCTTGAATTTAATAAATTAAAAAAAATATTACATTTAGATATATTAACTTTCACATAGAACACATACCCAAAAAAAAAAAAAAAAAAAAAAAAAAAAAAACTTGATTATATTGCAATTTTGGAATACACAGGATGGTGAAATTATGTAAAATGAAAGTACTCAAAGTGACAGTGTTATCGCCGATCAGAAGTCAAACCCAGAATCAAATCCATCAGAGTATCCGGCATCATAAGCAGCCGAATCAGAAATTGCATCTCCGATCAGCATACCGCCGATAGCACCGCCGAGCAGCCCGGCCCCCAATCCTAATCCGAATTTATTCTTCTTCGCCGGCTGTTGCACCGGTGGATATCCGTACCCGGGTTGCGGCGGGTACCCGTACCCGGCTGGTGGAGGCGGTGGGTACCCACCGTAAGGCGGCGGCGGCGGGTATCCATACCCGGCGGGAGGAAATGCTGTCGGCGGTGGAGCATATCCTCCTGGCGGCGGAGGTGGGCCACCCTGTGGAGGATACCCCGGCGCTGGGTATGCACCGCCACCAGCTGCCACATCACGCGGCGGCGGCGGCGCGTATCCAGAACTAGATCCAACCGCCGGATAGGCAGTCACCGGCTCAGGAGGCGGATAATATGAACCGGAACCGAACGCCGGTCCAACCGTAGGATAAGCTTTTACGGGCTCATCCACCTTATGAGCCGCCGCAACTGAACCGGAACCGAACGCCGGTCCAACCGGAGGATAAGTTTTAACAGGCTCACCCACCTTATTAACCGCCGCCGTAGCGCCGCCACTAATTTTCTCCCCAAACTGATAAGAAAACGTCAACTGTCCCTTCGGCTTCCCGGACGGTTTCCTCACCTGATAACTCGCGAACTGCTTGCCACTCCCGGCGGCCGCCGGAGAATCAAGAAGCTCCTTAATCGGAACCCAGACTTCCCCAATATCCTTGTCGCCGAGAGCGCGGTCGCAGCGGACCGTGAACACGAGAGTCAGCCGGTTCTGGCGCGCGGCGGCCTCGTCGATGGTAAACTTCATCGGAGAATTCCAGGACGGATTGGTATCGCCCAAACGGTCAACGGGGGTTTTGGCCTTCTGATTTGACTTCTTGTCTCCGCCGGAGATCGAAACGACCACGTACACATCCATCTTGGAAATCAGATTCACTTTGTTCAGATCTTTCGCCGACATAACATTGATTTCTAACGTACGGTGCTCCATGTCTGTAATCGGACGGAGAATTCAAGAAACTGATGGCTGAAATCAAGGGAGGGGAGATTTAAGAGACGTGAAATCTAGGGGAAGAAGAGGATGAGAAAAGTCAGAAGTCAAAGTTTACGTGTAGGGTCGGATCACCTTCCGAACTTTCTTGGAAAAATCAGTTATAACTACGGCTAAGGTTTTTGTGGCTTACTCGTTCCTTAATCGTGTCTTGTAACCATGGTCTAAGACTCCTTGACTTTCCAACTTCTATTTTTTCTTTATACACCCAGTTTGATTTGATGGAAAATATTTGAAGAAGAATCGAATTGAAATTCTATGAAAAATAAAATTTTAAGAAAATGGATTCTATTGTTTGGTTGGTGAAAAAAATTTACTGGAATATGAATTTTATTGTTTAGTTCGGTTTGAAATAGTAAAGAATAATTAGTATAATGATAAATATGATCCTAGCAGATCCGAACCTATAATTTTATAGGTCCAGAGCATGACAAAAAATATAGGCTCTAATGTTAACATATATTTCATATCTAAAATTTAAATTACATAAAAAAAAATACTAATATCAAATCAAATAACTTGAAACAATTTTGACAAGTTTTTAACAAGTTTATATACACAATAATAATCATGAAAAAAATATCATGACTGCTTTCCTAAATACAAAATAATAAATAATCGCATTACTGCCTTCCTAAATAAATAATTATGTTTTAAAAAAAAGTAAATAAGTTATTTAAAATCAAATAAGCTCATAAACAATAACGTAACATTGTTATCATAATAAATACTAAATTAATTATTAATTATTAACAAGTAATGAAACTAGAACAAGAGGTACGACTCATAAACTTTCTACAAATATAATAAATATTAATATTTTGTTTAATACTTTCATATTAGAATATATGACACATATCTCATAACACAAGAAACATATAGGAAAAAAACTACCATTTGCCAAAATCAACACGCGTTTGCATGATCAAGAGTTATAGTACAACTAAGATCCCTTTCATTTACACAACAAGGCAAATCCACAACTTCCTACATCATAATCTCATTGCATGACGCTGCCCTTTATGCCACTACCAGTAACCCAACTGCATATGCCACACTACCAATAAATAAAATAAAATAAAATAAAAAAGAGAACAAGTACTGAAGATGAAGATAATGACAACACTACCAAGATGAATAGGTGCGAACATGTGGTGAGATCTGAGCCGTTGATCAAATCTAGATCAACGGCACAAACCAATTAAAATTTTTTTTATAAAAAAAAAAACATATGTCCTAGAATGAAGAAGCGAAAGCTAAAAATGGCACCTTAAGTGTTACAAAGACCCACCTAAGTGTTATAATAACACACCTTAATGAGATGTTTGGTTCACAGAATGAATTTAGAGAGAATAAGAATGCTATTTCATAGGGAATAGAACATGTAAGGAATAGAACAAAAATTGTATTCTATTATTTGGTTCGCTGAAGGAATATAGTTTAGGAATTGTATTCTAGTTTGGTTAGTTAAATGAATAGAAATGAAATAGGTTTTAAAGACGTAAATACCCATATAATAATAATAATAATAATAATAATAATAATAATAATAATAATAATAATAATAATAATAATAATAATAATAATAATAAATGTAATTTTCGTCGGGGAAGGGGATACCACTCCCCGCCCTGCCCCGTCCTCGAGAAATTATTATAATTATAAATAAATAAATGTGTGTGTGTGTGTATGAAATTAAAATTTAAGTTTTTAATTTTTAAAATTAAAAATAACACTAATTTAAAATTTTGACTAAAAGTTGATTAGAGACGGGAAATCCCCGTCTCCACCAAATTTCCCGCGGAGATGGGGATGGGTCTATTTTTTATTCCCCGCGGGGGATGGGGACGGGGACGGGGATGGGGAGTATACTCCCCGTCCCGTTGCCATCACTACATGCGCACGTGCGTGTGGGTGCGTATGTGTGCGTGTGTGATACAACAACAACAACAACAACAATAATAATAATAATAATAATAATAATAATAATAATAATAATTACTCCCTATTATAGTAAAAATAAATATTTATATTAAAGAGTTATGAATTGAAGACAATTCAAATATAAACAAATATACATGTGTATATATATATATATAACCATGTATACATGTATTTTTGGTATTTGTAATTGAGTTAATTCCAACAATAGTCCTTTGCCTATTGTGATTTTCCACATTTGGTCCTTGTCTTTTAATTTGGACGAATTAAACCATTGACTATTAAAATTGTTCCACTATTGGTCCTTCCGTTATCATGGCGTTAAATAGGCGTTAGTGAATGGGCAAAAACGTCCTTTCATATGCTGGGTGTCTATGACTTTAGGGACGGACACACGATTTGCAGTGCCGTCGTCCATCCGTCTTGGCTTTGAGGACGAGGCGATTTGGGGCGGTGGTGTCGGCCCTATTGGCTTTGAGGATGGAATGAATAAGGATTTGGAGATTTGAGATCTCGGAATCCCATCACTGTTCTTTGTGGTTGCAGAGATGGCGGAGGATATGGACTCAAGGGATGTGCCACCATATGTATTATGTAGAGATGGAATCTAATTTTGGAGGGTAGGAAAAATGGATGGCAGAATTGGGAGCATTGGCGGAGCCACAATGGGGGCAGTGGGGGCAGCCTACCCCATATAAATGGTATATATACTAACTATACTAAAATTTAAACAAAGTTTGTGTTGGCTGGGATGGTAAGGCCATTAGTTTCCCACCTAATATAGTGAAAGGTTGAAAGGTTAGCAGTTCAAACCTTGCTGTTGGCATTTTTTTTATTTTTAATTGCTTATGCAGTTCCTATTTGTTTTTTTTTTTTTTTCGATCTACTAATATTAACAATATTCTAATATTGTCCTTTCTAACTGTGTTTAGTTGCCATTTGTTTTTCACTTCTTATGCATTCTATTTAGTTTCCATTTGTACTGATGTAGTTGTTTAATGGTTATGTTAATTACTAAGGACGAATACTTTTGCTGAAAATTCGTTAATGTTAGTTGGTATAGTTGTTTATTTGGAATAATTAGTTAATGTTAGTTAACATATAGTTGTTTAACAATTTTATTTGTATTTGATATTTTGTATTTTGTAGTTGAACATTTTGTAATTTATTTTACCTTTGCTATTTAGTTTCCATTTGTACTGATGTAGTTGTTTAATGGTTATGTTAATTACTAACGACGAATACATTTGCTGAAAATTCGTTAATGTTAGTTGGTATAGTTGTTTATTTGGAATAATTAGTTAATGTTAGTTAGCATATAGTTGTTTAACAATTTTATTTGTATTTGATATTTTGTATTTTGTAGTTGAACATTTTGTAATTTATTTTACCTTTGCTTTTTCGCCCCCACTTAACGTAAATCCTGGCTCCGCCACTGATTGGGAGGGTTAATTATCTGGAGAAGAACCTGATTCTTTGCCTTCACTCTCTTCTGTATTCTCGTTGTTATGCAAGCTAACAATGTTCAGCACGCAAAATTTTCTCCCTTGTTTTGATTTCTAATTACTTTATAGAATTTTGGGAATGATCTGTGTTGTTTTCTATTTACATCTACAAATCTAATAAGAGCCAATAATGTTAGGTCCTTAACTAGAACAAAAAAATGTCGGTAGTAGTTGTTTCTTAACCTTGCTGTTGGCATTTTTTTATGTCGGTAGAAGTGAAAAAATGTCGGTTAGCAGTTCAAACCTTGCTGTTGGCATTTTTTTATTTTTAATTGCTTATGCAGTTCCTATTTGTTTTTTTTTCGATCTACTAATATTAACAATATTCTAATATTGTCCTTTCTAACTGTGTTTAGTTGCCATTTGTTTTTCACTTCTTATGCATTCTATTTAGTTTTCATTTGTACTGATGTAGTTGTTTAATGGTTATGTTAATTACTAAGGACGAATACTTTTGCTGAAAATTCGTTAATGTTAGTTGGTATAGTTGTTTATTTGGAATAATTAGTTAATGTTAGTTAGCATATAGTTGTTTAACAATTTTATTTGTATTTGATATTTTGTATTTTGTAGTTGAACATTTTGTAATTTATTTTACCTTTGCTATTTAGTTTCCATTTGTACTTATGTAGTTGTTTAATGGTTATGTTAATTACTAACGACGAATACATTTGCTGAAAATTCGTTAATGTTAGTTGGTATAGTTGTTTATTTGGAATAATTAGTTAATGTTAGTTAGCATATAGTTGTTTAACAATTTTATTTGTATTTGATATTTTGTATTTTTTAGTTGAACATTTTGTAATTTATTTTACCTTTGCTTTTTCGCCCCCACTTAACGTAAATCCTGGCTCCGCCACTGATTGGGAGGGTTAATTATCTGGAGAAGAACCTGATTCTTTGTCTTCACTCTCTTCTGTATTCTCGTTATTATGCAAGCCAACAATGTTCAGCAGGCAAAATTTTCTCCCTTGTTTTGATTTCTAATTACTTTATAGAATTTTGGGAATGATCTGTGTTGTTTTCTATTTACATCTACAAATCTAATAAGAGCCAATAATGTTAGGTCCTTAACTAGAACAAAAAAATGTCGGTAGTAGTTGTTTCTTAACCTTGCTGTTGGCATTTTTTTATGTCGGTAGAAGTGAAAAAATGTCGGTTAGCAGTTCAAACCTTGCTGTTGACATTTTTTTATTTTTAATTGCTTATGCAGTTCCTATTTGTTTTTTTTCGATCTACTAATATTAACAATATTCTAATATTGTCCTTTCTAACTGTGTTTAGTTTCCATTTGTTTTTCACTTCTTATGCATTCTATTTAGTTTCCATTTGTACTGATGTAGTTGTTTAATGGTTATGTTAATTACTAAGGACGAATACTTTTGCTGAAAATTCGTTAATGTTAGTTGGTATAGTTGTTTATTTGGAATAATTAATTAATGTTAGTTAGCATATAGTTGTTTAACAATTTTATTTGTATTTGATATTTTGTATTTTGTAGTTGAACATTTTGTAATTTATTTTACCTTTGCTATTTAGTTTCCATTTGTACTGATGTAGTTGTTTAATGGTTATGTTAATTACTAACGACGAATACATTTGCTGAAAATTCATTAATGTTA